AGCTACCTGAGCAGGAGGTCGAAGAAGACCACGGAGGAGTCGTGGGACATGGCGACGGGGCTTGCCGTCTTGGTTTCCCATCACCATTATCGCCGATCGACGACGTACGTTGCTAAGGTTCATGACAAAAAATCTTTGTCTATCTTACCCTCAGAAAATCAGTGGTTGGATTTTAATATACCGCTCCCTCCCCCTATTGACAGTATAGGGTACCATAAAAACTCTCAGGTTAAAAGATATGATGGACTTATCCAGAGATTATGCTGGCAGCCATGTTGGATAAAAACCTCCTAGTCACATGCTCCAACAGCGTACACGCGCCATGAACTGCAAAAAATAACCTGCATACGAGAATCATTTTTTATTATTAAAAACCAAATCATTTCAACATATCAAAGGCCTAAGCGACCATAGTAAGGCATATGCTCTCACCCTTAAAGAGGTGTTTGAATGTTTCAACACGAGTACAAAAACACCCGTTTTTCCTTCCAAGCCAGTTGGGATGCGCGAGGTTGTCTTTGGTTAACACAACTCCCATATCAAAATACCACTTGAAGATTTTAAAATTTGAGAGGAATCTTCACCTTCTAATTTTTTTTGTTAATACTCACCGGTACCTCAAAATGCATGAATGCACAGTAATAACACGCTATAGCGTTTTGACAAATGTCTTGCTAAATGAATCAGTGTATAATGTCTCGCTAATAGCGCGCTATAACGCGATATAGCACGGTAATAGCATATTTTGAGAGTCTTGCTATTTTGTCATAGCACGCTGTTTTTTCATGGGTTGCAACTCCTTCCATTCATAGTTGTAACTCTCTCTTGAGGATGCGCTCCCATTCAAGGCTTGTGGTGGGATGTGGCTCGTTTGGGAGAGAGAGAGATGTGTTTGGAGGAAGAAGATGAATGTGGGGAGGAGAACGACACCGAGCAGATAAAGCGGGCACGTGCGGTACTTGGGGCCACCAACGCGTGCTTCCTACGCGAGCGACGCATTGACACAGTCTGTATGATCTGAAAAAGATTGAACGATAAGAGTAATGCTACACCTATGAACCACTTAACATAATCCTTAGGTGATAAGACTGCTGGCAAGTTATAATCTGAAAACGATGGAACGATAAGAGTAATGCTACACGTACGAACCTCTTAGGTACAAGTTTACGTTAGTCTTCACTAGTTCATGTGTATGTGCAATGCACGTTAATTTGGAAGTATATTAAGTGCATGCGGATATTAAGTATGATATTATTTACGTGTTATTATGTAATTAGCATTATATTTGATATGAAATTAACTGCATGCTAAACGTGTTGAGCGCTCGACATTGAAGCAGTCTAAGTCGTTGGATTGACATGATTTGATGGCCGAGATTAATTGGATCTGCCTATTTGGATCTTTTTATTATTATAGATTATAGATAGGTGTAGGAACGAATCGTTTTCCATCCAAAACATAAAAGGGAAATGTTGCTTGTGCAGTGGTGCTGCCAAAAGTTTTCCCATTATAAATAGATGAGTAAACTTGAAATCCTGGAGAACAAACATCACTACGGATAAGCGGTGGTTTCCTTCACTCATTATTCTCCACGCGAGACAAGGACTACGTACGGAAGCTAAAGCATGGAGCTGCGGCGCTGCTTGGATCATAGTACAAGCTAGCGATCATGCAACGTTGACGGGTGGATCATGTTGGATGCGCTTCTTGGGCGCGACGGCCTCGATGGCCTCGCCGAGCGGCCAGGCGGCCTCCATGAAGTACTCCCCGTGCTTCACCTTGTCCACCAGCGTGATCTCCCTCGCCGGCGCCAGCCCGAACCCGTAGACGAGCAGCGTGTACTGGTACACCAGGTCCATGCAAATGTAGGGCGTCTCGCGCACCCCGGGATACGCCGCCTTGGCCTCCTCGAGGCTCAGCGGGCAGATCTTCTTGGCCGCCGCCCAGAACGCCCCCGGGCTGGACTTGGCGCTCGGGGCGTCCTTATCCACCCACCCGACCTGGGTGGCCTTGCCGTAGAAGAAGGAGGCCGCGTACAGCGTCGCCTGCCCGGCGCCGCCGCCTCCGCCCCACACCCCGCCGAAGGTGCAGTTCTTGTTCGCGCACGGCGCGTCCAGCTTCAGCGCCTTGGCCACCTCATTCCTGCACTTGGTGTACACTGCCCCTTCCGGCGACGCCGCCGCGTCGTAGATCTCGCCGTTGTAGGTGTAGTTGCCGGTGGATCCACGCAGCATGCACGAGCTGAACGGCCCGGACTTGGCCTTGAGGATCTCCACACGAGCAGCCAAGTTGCCGTAGTACAGGTAGCTGCAAACTCAATTTGTGAGAAAATAGTAGATCCATATTACTTGTCGCTGGTTTAGTATATAATAATCCACCTCTCTTTGTGAGTTCGAACTTAATTGTGTGGAACTCAATTAATTATTAGTAAACATTTGCTCTTGTAGTGTCTAATTGACTTCATGATTGATGACCTGTGGACGTAGACGTTGTAGTCTTTTCCCTTGAGGTACTCCTTGGTGATGTAAGGGTCCTTGCCATCAGGCGTTGCCGGGGCGTTTGCTGCGGTGTTTGGAGAGACGGCGTAGGCCATTTGGACCGAACCGCCACCAAGATCGATCACGCCTACGGTCTTCGAGTAATCTCCGCCCAATCTATCCAGCAGATAGTTCAGAGCAACCTGCATATATACCGCGTTTGCCAATCATAAATAAAATAAAATTTGAATAAATCTAAATCTCTCCGATGTCAATCACCGTCGACCTTGAAACTAAGATCAATGCAAGTTTTCGTATTATCTAACCTTTGAAAACAAACAATACAATTTTTAATACTATATGAATATTTTCTATTGCCTGATGAATACTTTTTGAATTTATTTTTAAGTATAATACCTTATGAAATTCATATGAACAAATATGCAAAATCGACTGAATGTCAATCAACCTAGGACATATATAAAAGCTATCCAAAAAAACATAACCAAATGTTATAGAGAAAAGGCTCACAAGATTGGAAGAAGCGGTGGACTTACCCACATGTAAGACCCTTCTTGAGATCCCTCGAGAACATTGATCCACTTTGGGTTGTACTGGAATTTACTCTTGGTGTGGACGATATCCCTCACATGTAATTGTACCAAGGGAGAGTCAACACCAACGGTCCTTCGATTACTCCTTGATGCATATATATTTAAACTGCTAATTAGTAAAGTGATTACCGCTTGAAGGATCTGCTCCGATGGCTTGTCTCCGATAAGCCTCAGCCCAGCCGTCGCCTGCTTAATATCTCTCGTCAGTGTTTAATTACCACATACATACAGAGTATAAAGGAGTTCAAAGATCAAATTTCAATTTTTTCATTAAACTCGTATATATATTACTCCTAGTTTAAGGGGAGTTCTGTTCATTTGCCACCAAGGGACGACACTGTTTGCCTTGTCGAGCAGTGGTATCACGGACTTTGCAGCCTCCTTGGGCCGCCCGGAGAAGGAACTCAGCCCGGGGGACACCTACACCATGAACAAAACCAACGTTGCATTCGTGCTTGAGTGTAACGATATAATTGTGAGATTTGCTTTTGCATATGTACTACAGGCGTACATACCTTGGCGAAGACCTCGATGTCGTCGCCGATCTCAAGGAGGTCCATCTTGTTGTCAAACTTGAAGACGTGCACGCGTGTGCCCGTGCTCCCGGCGTCGAAGATCACGGCGTACTTGCCCACCCCCGGAAACTGCACGGGCCCCTCCGCCGCGGTACTGCCTTTGCGGCCGAGCACCGTGTCGGCAAAGGCCGCGGACGACGAAGCAAGCAGGAGGAGGAGAAGCGGTGCCGCGGCAACGACGCGAGCCATTGGAGAGAGAGGGGCAGCTAGCTACTGGTGACTGGCAAGTGCTGACTGTTGAGTCCAGCTGTAAGTGACAGTGGGATTTAAAGAGACCGAGATGGGGTCGTGTTTTGGATCAGCTCCCCAGCTATGCACTTGTGCGCAATCGGGTCCCTGGTAGTAGGTGGCACAGATCCAACACACATGAAGACAAAAGCAGATCGCTGAGACGGCCGGCTCAAGATCTCCATGCGCAACATGCTCATGTTTTTTTTCTGTTCTTTGATTAGCCTTTGCTTGTGCCAGACGGCCACGTTGTTTATAACATCAAAATGGGATCATGTGAGTCACGTGTGGCCACACTTGTGGAGATATGCGCTGATGGGCAATGATATGCGCTGCAAGCATAGAAAATTTGATCACGCACGCTCACGATGGAATTCAAATTTTTGGTCTCCATTAATTCGTTCGTCTACTTTGTTGCTCCTTTGTTTCGTCGCATGCAAGTGGTCATGTATGTCACACTATTCTGGCTATTGAAAAGTTTGATATGTTCGACAGCATAACGGTTGGCATCTTTTATACTATCGGAATTATAATTCATCTTTGTTAAGTCCAAAAACAGATTGCACACTTCGGAAAACGTGGCTAAAAGGCAGGGGCCGTCGACCGGCACTTGTGCGGTAGGTAACGTGGTCGAGGACGCAAACCACGTCTTCTTTCGGTGCCCGCTGGCCAGGTTCGCCTGGAGCGCGACCCTGGCCGCGGCCGAGGTGTCCTGGGACCCGAGGACAACCAACGATCTTGTGGCTATCCTTGACTCGGTCCAGGGGAGCAGTAAACGTGTGATGTGGAGCTGTGTTGGGGCACTGTTCTGGACGCTTTGGTTAACTAGGAACAAACTAGCTATCGAGGGGATCTTCCCGACTCAACCGGCTAATATCATCTACAAATACAACTTATTCATGCAGCAGTGAAGTCCATTGACGAGGCACAAGGATACTGAGAGGATGCAACATGCTCAAGACCGTCTTCGCCAGGTGTACGTGATGGCTAGGGAGCCAGCCACCACTTCTTGATTTGGAGTGGCCCTTTTGTTCTGTGGGCGAACCTGCGTGCTCAGTGTTTGGCCTTCGAGCCATGTAACTTCTGCTCGCACTCTTTTGGCCGTGAACCCTTTAACTTCCTGCGTGTGTGTGGCATGAGCCCTTGTGCGATGTGTGTAAGGTTTGGACTTGGTTGGTACGATGTCTATGTTATGGGCTTTATTAATTTAAAGCCGGACGCTTCTAACGTCTTCGTTTTAAAAAAACAATTTGGGCCTTTAGAAAGAAAGAATGAAAGAGAAATGTAAGCACACACTTGACAAGGATTGGTGACTTGCCTTGCCGTACCATTTTCTCCGGTGATCCAGGCCAGTGGGCTAGGGTGGTGCTGACAGTCCGGGATGCATAGACATGGTGAGGGTAACGCTATGAGGAACCAGTGTGGAAGGAGAAGAAAAGCCAACCTGCATGCAACAGGCTGCAAGCGCATTACACACGATCAGAACAACAGCCAATCCTATTTAGCGCGAAACACGCTGAATACTGGTCATACACCGAGCTGCTAGCGACTCTTATATGAACGTTTTTTGAAATTCATAATATTTTCAAAATTTCCTAATTTTATGAATTTGAAAATATTTTTTGTGATTCGGAACCTTTTTCGATTCATGATTTTTTTTCATTTCCAGGAATATATTTTTGGAATTCAAAGCTTTGTTAAACTCTACTCCATCTGATCCATATTACTTGTCTCTCAAACGGATGTATCTAGCATTGAAATATGTCTAGATATTTCCGTTTGAGCGGTAAGTAATATGGATCGGAGGGAGTAAAAAAATTTAAATTTACGAGCCCATGAAATGTTTTAAAATTTTGGATTTTTTTTTGACCTTGAAGACTACAGGGCTTACACACCACAGCAATTTATTAAAACTTAAAAAAGCAAGTACAGCAAAGAGTTCCTTAAGAAAAGGAACTGAGCAGGAAAGGAAAGAAAAAGAACACTATACAAACTATTCTAGACAGAGAAAGAAAGATCTAACTAGAAAAGAAGAAAAATATTACAAATGCAGGGCCCCTCAAGGAGACAGGAAATCAATCCATTTGAGCAAAGCATCTCTGTGTTTTGATTTGATTCTGTGGGCCAATATAGAGATGTCTTGGACAAAGCCATTCCTCCACTGCCTGAAAGTAGGTCTGAGATACCTGAAGACTTTGTCATTTCTGACTTTCCATATATTCCACCAAGTGAGGAAGACCACCTCACAGAAGAAAGGCTTGTTGAAATCCCTCCTAGCATGATGTGCAATCTGCACCATATTGTCACACCCTAGCTAGTTCATGCATTAGAGTGTTGCATCATGTCTATTCTTTCAGCAGAAACCTGAAATGGGGATGACAGAACCCCCAGCCCCCTCTGAAACCAACTAGGGTTTACTAATTTTTTTTTAATGAACCTGAAATGCCCTTCTAAAATGTCCATCATTTTTGTCTTGGTTAAGAACCTCTGCCAAAAGTGGTGCACATTTTCCTAGGCCATCTTAGTGTCTTTGAATTAAATCATAGATATTTGAATTTGGGCATTTAAAATTATATAAAATATTTCAAATGCTCAAATATCTCCAAACTAAAATGTTTCATGTTGGAAATAATCCAACTATGAACCAGGAGTAGTTTGGTGATTTTAGGAGTGGCCTAAGTATTTTTAATAATTCAACAAAGTTGCAGAAGAATTAAAAAAACAGAAAACAGGAGAAATAACAAAAAACTTACCTGGCGCCCAGCACCCGGCCCACCTGCCGGCCCAGCCCAGCACCGCGCCAACGAGCTGCTTGCCGGCCAGGCAGGCAGGCAGGTGCCCGACGGCGGCCGCAGCGTGCGCCACGCAGCTGGCCGTCGCCCTGCTTCACCTCCTCGCCTCGTTGCTGGATGGATGGACTCCACGTCGAGCCGTCAACCCCCAGGACACCTCCATTCTCCCCCAACTCCTCTCTCTCGCGTTCCCCCCGCCATGGCCGACGCCATCGCCGCCACCCCCTCGCCGTAGCCACGCCCTCCGTCAACCCCACGTCGTGCCGCCGTGTCCAGGAGCTCCGCCACCCTCATCTCCTTCGAGCAAGCCGAGCCCCGAGCGCTCGCAAGGCCCGAGCCCACCGCATCGACCTCGACCGAACCGTCGTCGCTGGAGATCCCCTTCAACGCCGTCGTCGCTCCGGCCCGTCCCCGGCCGCACCAAGTGCTTCGTCGAACTCCCGTGAGCTTAACCATCTTCCCCTCCCTTCTTTTCTTGCTCCCGAGCTGTGTAGTGACCTCCCAGAGCTCAACCGCACCCATCGCCGCGGAGCTCGTCGCCGACATGCTCCTGGTCACCCTCCGGCCACAACTTGGTGTCTATCATGCTCACCACGTCACGTAGCACCTAAGCAGCTACTCCCCGCACCTCACTGACCCCTCTAGCATCAAGTTCGCCCTCGGCCGAACTCCGGTGGTCGCCAAAGTCGTCGCCGGCGCCAACTCCGGCCACCCCGACCCCAACGGACTCCACCAAGAGCTGAGGCTCCTCCTCAGCTCCACTCCGATGGCCTCCGCGACTCGTTTGGTTGCTGGAACGGCCAAAACCACTTCCGCCGCCGCGTCGGGCTCGCCGGCGGCTAAACGCCGGTGCAGCCGACCTGGCTTTGACCGCGGGTGGGCCCTGGTTGACCCCGATGAGTCAATGACAGGTGGGGCCCAGCCCTGTTAACTAAATAGGGTTAGTTTTAATTAAACTTTAAATTAAACTAATTACCCTGACACCCTGGACCCACAGTCAGGTTTGACCTGGACGTCTCCGTTGACCCTGACGTCATTCTGACGCATGGCTGACGCAATAAATTAATTTCTGGATTTATTCTAATATAGGAAATTCCAAAATATAGTTTAAACTTCAAAAATTCATAACTTTTAATCTGTAACTCCAAATCAGACAAGTTATATATGAAAAATGATCAGAAAAATCCAATCTATCCATCTGTACTGTTTTCATGCATGATTAAAAAAGTTAACTTGCTGTTTAATGCAGAACAAGATAAAACACTTTAAAGGGCCATGTATGAGTTTGAAATGTGAATCTTTGGTTCAAATTGGTTCAAACCCTTCTGGTCTTAGTTGCATTAGCCCAACACACTCATATTGCCATGTTTCATGCATGCATCATATTGTCGCACATTGTTTGGTGATGGCTGTGTATCGGTGTTCTTTGCGGCAGGTTCTGCCTTCGAGGAGTACCGTGATTACCCTAGCGAAGAACCATATCAGTGCATCGAACCATCAGGCAAGCAACCAACCATTTGATCATATCGATACAATCCCATGTTCTCGCTCCTGCTCTCTTTTACTGCATTAAGACAACGCGTTTCAAACTGCTGTGTGCTACAGTAGTTGAACCCATTTCCTCTGCATGACCTGTCATTTCCACAATAACTAGATGAAATCCACTAGCATGTGTAGGAGTTGATTGAGCCATATGTATGTGTTGTTCCTACCTTGCTATGCCTGCTATGCTTAGAGTCGTGTCAGGTCTGGTTCATCTGGGTGATGGGCTAGAGTGAAATGATTATGTCGGTAATGAGAGTGGTGTGGTGAACACGATTTGGTAAAGGTATCGATGAGAGGCCATGTAGGAGTACATGGTGGGTTGTTTCATTGAAACCATCCTTAAGCACTGAGATCTGTATGTGTGATTTAAGATTCAGCTACTACCATGCATTGGGCCCGAAACCAATGGACCCTCTCGACTTCTTAATTACCCTAGTTCTCTGTCCAGGAGTTGCAAGTAGTTTCTGGTGTTTGTAGCCTACTGGAGGCCGTGGACAGCGCTGACCATAGGGGTGGGCTGTGATGCGGTAGGTACGTGGTCGGGTATGTCGGGCACCCGTTAGGTGTCTCGGAACCCTGTTCACATCGTTTGGGGCTGTGAGCGAAACCTCGGCCGGATCTCCT